AGAAAAATTAGACTACAATTAGTTTATAATTAATATTTGGGCATGTTTACTATGTAACTATCAATACACAGAGCAACTAAAGTAATACAAGAAACACTGCTGGATTTTATTTAAAGAGAAAATTAATATTTCTTTCAAAATAGTGTTATTCTGATTATTTTCAGTAAGCCATAACTGAAATTGGCAATATACTTAATTTAAACTTCCCCCAAAAGAGGAATGTTCTACAGAAGGGCAGAAGCTGCTATTTAACCACTGGGGTGATTTTTTTAAAAGAACTTGTTGAACTTGTTTAAATTAGCATAATGACATAAATTTAAATAGTAGTTGATAACTCTGCATGCATGCACTCTAAAACATAAAATTTTAGTGTTGTATTTTTAAATGTCAAAGCTGCAACTTAAGAGTCAAATTTACCCAACATTGCTGCCTGTTAGTTTGCACTTCATTTCAGTCCAAATTTCTTCCACGCTTTTTCAAATGCTACTTGTCCCATGAGGAATGTGATGGCAAAATTTCGTTTGTACCATTCCCTACATTTTAGAAGCAAAGGAACATAGCAAAATCACAGTCATTTTGAGAAGATAAATATTTAGGGGGAAAAATATTGTGTCTTTGCATAATTAAAATGAACCCTAACAAATTTGTACTGTTGCAAGTACCTTTCTAGAAAAATACCCTACTCTGTGCTATATGCGTGGGTATATGCAAAAACTGCATGATTTAAAGCAAAGTTTTGTTTGTTTTATTTTAGATTCCCACTTATCTGCATATCTCAGTGAATACAATTGAATGTCTTAGGCCTCAAGATATCTGCCTCAAGGTCTGCTATTATCAGTTACATAGAGTATGAGACTGATGTACTACGCTAGATGAAACACAGTCAATGAAGAAATATTAATATAGAAAGTGCAGATTGGTAGGTGAATGGCAACAGAGAAACAGGTAAAGCCAGTTGGTGATTTGGAAACAGTTCCAAAAAGCTTATGAAGCAAATTGGTTTTAAAGAAATCAATGAAAGTGAAGGGTAGAATTTATTTGACAAATAAGGAAAGAAAACTATTCTGAAAAGTATCTCTCACCTATTATAGTATACATTTTTTTTCAAGTTTTTACTTAGGAAATCTTTGTAAAATTCAGCCATTTCTTCTGCAGTCAGTGATGCTTTCTGACCTGAAAAGGAAATGAAATCACAGTTTATAGATCAGAAAAAAACAAATCTTAATGGTTAATTTCTTCGTTATTTATTATGACAGGTTTAATATCAAATTGAAATTGAAGGCAGGATATCCATATTTATAGATTTATGGTTCCCTATGGTCTCTTCTATACACAAACAATCCTTCACAGAATGGTTGTATTATTTTAGGGATGGTCACATTAAAGAGCTATATGAACCCTGTATTATGGAAATGCTGTATGAATTATAAGCAGTAGCATTAGGAATTATCTTGGGCCATATATCTATATATATAAGAATATTTCTTTTATAACCAAGACTTACTCCAAATTCATGGAAAGTTATGGACTTCTTCCAGGCTTCTCTGTAACTGAATTTTAGTTATATTACTCTGTATCATGAGTTCTCTAACTTATAGCTTCACTCTCAAGGAGCCTAATGTTCTTATTCCAAAACTAAATTTTCTTTAAATAAAAATTTAGCAAATCTACACCAAATAATACTCCAAGCCATTTTTATTTTAGCTTTATTAAAAACAGTTGGATATGCATGATTTCTTTGATCAAAAGTGTGATATAAGTATTTGACTTAGATTATATTCTAAAATTTAAAATCCACAAATAATATAAATCATTTATGAATGTGTGCCAAATGGTAAAATTAATGATCTAACCTTTTTCATCTCTTGGCTGTATACCCTTGGCTTTCAGTCTAGAACAAACAAATTCTTCTTTTTCCTGAAATAAGATTCAATAATATTACAATATACTGGTTCTCAGTTTATTGGTATCATCTTATAAGTAACTATTATCAATCATAATAGTTTATTGCAAAATCCACTCCAACTAATATTTTAACTGATGGGAAAGATTCTCTTCAAAACAATTAGAGATTAATGTATCTTCAACATATGCAATTCTGTAACAAACAATTCAGCAGCTATCTATTCATTTTGATCTGACAATTAAAACCGAGAGGACCTACTTAAGACTAACACATTTGTACAGCAATACTTCCCCTTACAAAAAAATACACTGGCTCTAGCTTAGGGTAAATAAATAATTAAGTTTATGATAGTAAGACTTCATAATTGGTATTAGAGAAATTTAGAAATGAAAAATAAATTTAAAATATCACAAATATAAAAATGTATTATATATTGAACAGTTGAATGGTATCATTGCTTTAAAACAAATCTTCTACAAGCCTTAAAAGGGCACCCAGTGCCACCTAGTGGTTTTATATTTCTACCTTTCTAAATGATTGATTTTGATTTGTCCAGAATTCTTGATTCCAAGCCTGGGTTTCCTGCCTAAGTTCTCTCAGTCTTCGCTGCAATGGACTTTCATGTTTAGGAACATAAAATATTACTGGTCGAAGATTTGAATATTGATCAGGAGGCCCAATCCAATCACAACAAGAATCTGAAGGCGGATGAAAACCTGAAACCTTAAAAAGAGAGGAGGAGGGGTTAATAATAATACAAAGCATCACAAATTATTTCAACATTATATTGCCCAATGAAAGAGGCAAGCTATAGAAACAATTATAAAGGAGAGAAAATATTAAGTAAAAATTTAAAGGATAACATTTAACACTGGACAAAGTTCAAAGTTCAATCTTATGTCTCTCTTGTAGTTTAGCAAACATCAAATAGGACAGTGGTGGTAAAATGAAATAATCAGAGCAAATATTTTTAAAAAATAAAAGAATGCTATCAAATTAAAACCTAGAAAAAGACACAATTGGGACAGGCAATCAATACAATGCACATAATTTTCCAAATTTCATACATAGATCCCCGAATGTTCTTTTTTTCCCTGATAGAAAACAGGTGTGGTATTCATGTCTCCATAAGAATTAATATCTCTAGTTTGTCCTTAATCCCCCAAATGCTCAAATGTTCAATTCCAAACCTATGATATCATGCATTGCTGAACATCCCCACTGTAATTTTCAGATCCTATTTTTTAATGAGAAAACTTCAAGTGAAAAACTGATCTCCCCATAAAGGAGTAGCTCAATTGGAAAAAAAGAAAAACTAAAAAACAGAATACCACAAAGGAGTAAAGTTCATGGAGGACTGATAAACTAAAGCAACTATTTGTAATTTTAACTGCAGAAGAGGAATTGTGGGGATATTAAAATCATTTTATAAGCAGCCCTTCAAAATAATTTTTCTGGGTAACTTGTAATACAGTATTCTGAAATCGTAATTTAAAATTGAGACTAACTATAATCTAACATGGGGAAAAAAACCACCCCAAAATATTATTGGAGATAAATGGAAACAGCAATATAATTACTTACTCCTAGATTTTGGGGATTGTATTAAAGCTTCAAAAGCTAACAAAGTAGGCATGTCTCATTCCAGATCTAGGGGTCATTTCAGACCAGGTAGTGGCACTGGTGGAAAAAGGTATCAGAAGGGAGGATAATGTACTTAATGTGGTGACCCAAGCCCCCATCCCTTTATAAACACATAGAAAGGAAGGCAGGATTTAGATTACGATGGCATAACCACTATCCCTCCAATGCTACAGTGAGTGGTTGTGCTCCATCCATTTCTTGTCAAGCCTCAGGAAGAATGGTCTAAAAATTTATTTATTTTATTTATTGAATTTTATACCGCCCTTCTCCCGAAGGACTCAGGGTGGTGCACAACCACGATAAAACCAACAGTAAATAAAAGTTAAAATCAATTAAAACAAATTAAATAATCTGGTCAAGATCATAATTAAAAACTAAAATTTCCCAATTAAAATTCAAAATTTTTAGGCCAGCCCAGCTTGCTGGAATAAAAGCGTCTTGAGGAACCGGCAAAAGGTGCAAAGGTCGGGGATCTTCCGTATCTACATATCCTTTAGGCAGTTCCAAAATATGAAGAGATTCGGGAGTTAAAATCAGTTTCTTAAATTGAAGCCATGCAGATGATGAAATGAATATTCAGTCCCAGACAGTTCGCTTGCTATCAGTTTCCAAACTGTTTTCAAAATTAGCTTTACACACAGGTAAACAGTTACCAGAACACCGATTACTAAAGCCAGCCAAGTGGTTAAAAGTGCATTAAACAGAAGAAAACTTTTTTTGTTTAATGAAAAAAGAATCAACATCTCATCAACAAAAGATGCAACCTGATCCTTTTATTTCACAGAAAGAAAACCAACACTAACAATATTATACCTGAACGCACAAGTTATGCACAGTGCCTTGTCCAGGATATGAGACCATCCTTTCACTAACTCCAAGCAGCTTCCTTCATTTCTCTGATTTGCTCACCAAGATTTGATGAGTAAATCACAATTGGGCTGGATTCACAAAACACAGCTGGGTTGCAAAAGCAACCAGATTATCGTTAAAACTTGGGCTCCGTGAATCAAGCCACCGACTCTATGACAGCAGAAGAGCGTTACCCGGTCTCGCCACGCTAGCTGGGAACGAGACGAACGGAAGGACGAAACTTTGACAGGGCACCCGGGTACCTAACTAAGCCCCTTAATCCCTCCGTGTTACCTTTCTCTTGGGAGGCGACGGCGAGCTCTTCTTCTCCGGGTCTTCGCCCGGCGAAGACGCTCCGGAGACTGAGGAGGACGACAAAAACCTGCAGCCGAAGCAGCTCGTGACTAGGTAAGGGCAACCGCCTAGGCTGTATAGAAACCTTCGGCTCCTCACGAGCGCCGCCATCCCAGCCAGACCGAGGCAAGGACTAAACAAGCGCACGGAGCCCCAAGAACTGAACACGCCCGTCGCTTTACGGCAACGTCGTGAAAGGCGGGAGTGGGGGGGAGGGAGATTTTCCTGTCAGTTCTCGCGCGCTCTCCTCGTTCCCTCAAATGGCGCCGGCGTTACGGAACGCCGGGAGAGCGCGCGAGCTGGGCTGGCAGCGGGAGTGTTGCAACCAGCGTGGATCATTTCCGAGCCACCCTTGAGGTGAGAGAGAGAGAGAGAGAGAGAGCGGAGCGGGGAGGGACATGGCGGCGAAGGTGCTACGGGCAGCTGCTCCCATCCGGCTGTGCGCTTCCGAAGGACGATAACGTGGGGATTGGACAGCGGAGGGAGAGGATGGAAAGCCCGCAACGCCGGTTCGAAGGAAGGGAGCTAGAGGAGCGGAGCGACGTTAGTGGAATTACCTGACTCGCGGTGTCTCGGGTGGGGGGGGGGGAAGAGTATGGAGTGGAAGATGAAGGGGAGAAGACTTGCGGAATAAGGAGGGAAGGAAGGCAGGGATGCTGGGTGATTGCCGACGGGCCGAAGGAGCTGGGCGAGTTGCAGTTAACATGCCCGGGTGATTGCTGTTTAAATTGGGAGCTTGAAAGGGATCCAGGCTTCTCAAACAGAGAGAGAAAAGCAAAGGCAGCCGGGCCTGGTAAGATTGCTTGGAGGGCGATTGTGAAGACTGGTATTCCGGCGAAGTTGGCGAGCCTGGGGCCGAATCGAACAGGGGGGTGGTGGGGAGAGGCTCGGCTGAGCCCTGCGGCCAACGGGGTTGACCTGAAAGCTGCTCTAAACGACCCCAATTGCTGCCCTTTCCAGTCCATCCTGTGGCGTCCTCCCCTATGCCTGCCTGCCTTCTCTCTCTCTCTCCTGCTGTCAAGGTGGGCCGTTGAGAGAGAAAAGGGTAGAGAAGTCCTCGTTTATCGGGAGGGACGAATCTGGATTAGGTAAGGGGGGAGGAGAAGGGGGACTGCCTGGTCTCCCAAGGCGGGTAGGCCAAGCGGCTGTTCGGCTCGTCTTGCCCGTAGTCCTGGGGGGGGGGGTCCAAGCGCCCTTTTTAAGTGCAGCGGGAGGGCTTCTCGGAAGACCCGCTCTGCGTCAGATCAGGCGACTAGTCCGCACTACTGGCGGGTGTCGAAGCAGCAGCGTGCAGGGGGCGGGCGGCTATTTAAACGTAGAGTAGCTGACGGCGGCGGAGTCCCGGCGGTGGGAGAAGGGTGTGTGTGTGTGTGTGTTAGATTTAAGTATCAGTTGGGAACAGCCGCGTCTGCGGGTGGCGAATTGAGGCCCGTGTCGGGATGGAGCCGGGGGGGGGGGGGAACGGGCTGAGGCGGGGAAACCTGTGCGGAGATTGTGACGGCGCGGACGGGTCTTCCCCCGGTAAATAACTCCTGGTTGATAAAAGGTCTTTGGGAACGGGAGGGTGGGGGGGGACCCGAATTGGGCCCGCCGGAGCTCAGTGAACCGGATTCCCCCCGTTCTCGTCTCCTCCAGAACCCGAACTCGAACCCGTTTGCCTCCCTCCCCTCCCCCCCCCCCACGACCCTCTCCTCCCCTCCTTCAGCCGTTCCGGGAGAAGCGCCTCGGTGGCCAAAGCGGAATTAGATTGTGCAGCATTGTGAAGTCACTGGGTGGGGGGAGGGGGGAGGAGGCGTGGGGCGGCGAGAGGGGGGGGGGCAGAGAGAGGACGGCGGGGAGGTTGTCGGCGCGCTCTACCTGGGGGAAGCGGCCCGAGCTCGGGGCTGATTCCTGGCTACCTTCCTGCAGGAATGTAGGATTGAGACAGGGGCCGGGGGATCAAGCTCTGTGCACGGGGAGTCGCTTCCCCCAAAGAGCTGCTCACTGGGTAAGAATAGGACGGACCCGGGAGGGTTGGTGTGTAATAAGTGGCGGGGCTGAATGAGTTGCAGCTTGGCTCTATATACCAAGCTGTAGCTGGTAGACCACAATGTGTTTTGAGTGGGATCGGTGGACTGGACTCCAAAGTATTGTCACCCTGAGTAGCTTGTACAGTTTGAAATGTCGAGGACGACTGTCTTTATCTCTGGAGAAAAGAGGAAAAGGCAAAAATATAATTTAGACTTTAATTTCCTAAAACTTCCTTTCCATTTGTATAGCACGTTGGGGGGGGGAAATTTTTTCTTTCTTTACTATTGATTTTTGTATTGTTTTTTTTTCCTGTTATTCTTTAACAATAAAAATACAATAAAAAATTTTAAAATATATATATATATAATTGTATTTCTCTGGGATGACCGAAGAAGGGTAATTAGAGATATATCTAGTTTTTGTCCCTATTTTATCTGCTTTTGATACTACAGGAATATTGTGTGGGGAGGCAGTTGGTACTGTTTTTTTCCCAATACATCAGCACTTGTTAAGACTTGCTTGTGGTATTTAAAGAGATTGGGGAAAGAAACCATTCTGCTTGGAACTTTTTAGTTCATACTTTTTACTTTTGGCAAGGGGTAGACCAATTAGACATGTTGTAAGTTCATAATATGCATCAGATTTAAATCAACTGGCAGAATCTTTCAAGAAGATTACAGCTATTATATCTTCAAAAAGATGTTATGTTGTAACTGTACTATATTGTCTCTCGAATAAAACAATAGTGGAATACTTCAGTACTTACAACTGCACATATATGTTTTTTAGAATATTTTCAAGCAATCTTACATTTTATTGTATTCTCCATTGTTTTTAGTTCTGTTGAAACTGGATGAAGAAAAAGAATGGATATGGGTAACCAACATCCATCTATCAAAAGGCTGCAAGAAATACAAAAAGAAGTCAAAGAGTTTGAATCTCAAGTAGTAGCCTTCAGTGGTTTGTCCAGTGATAGAGCTTACAAGAAATTAGAAAGGACTTTGACTAAACAGCTTTTTGAAATAGATTCGGTCGATGCTGAAGGCAGAGGTGATGTTCAGCAAGCCAGAAAGAGGGCTGCCCAAGAAACTGAGAAACTGCTTAAGGAACTAGAGCAGAATGCAAACCATCCCCAAAGGCTGGAGATAGAATCCATATTTAACGAGGCACAGGCATTGGTGGAACAGGAAATCACTGATTTTTATAAAGGAGGTAACTGTGTAACTGAGGAATTTGAAGAAGGTTTACAGGATATAATTTTTAGACTCACTCAGGTAAAAACCGGAGGAAAAATTTCTCTGCGGAAAGCCAGATATCGTACCCTGACCAAAATATGTGCTGTTCAAGAAATTATAAGTCGTTGTACAAAGCAGCAGCCTTCCCTGCCATTGTCCAGTGATGCACATCCTTCCGTTTCCAAAATTAATTCTGTCATAGGAGATGTGAACAAAGCAAAAGGAACTCTTATTGCTGTATTAATGGGAGTAAACAATAACGAGACCTGTAGACATTTATCCTGTGTACTCACAGGTCTGATTGCTGATCTGGATGCCTTAGATGTATGTGGCCACCCAGAAATAAGAAACTATCGTAAAGAAGTAGTGGAAGAGATCAATAGATTGCAAAAATATCTGGATCTGGAAGAAGAAGCAGATTCCACTTATGCTTATGACTTGGCACAAAACGGATCCATTATAAAAATAGAAGAAATACGCAAGAACATGAAAGAAGTTACAGCTTCCCTTTTAAAAATAGAGAAAGCTTCAGATTTGTATCTAAAGTCAAAGACAGAACTGCAAGGGTTAATTGCCCAGTTGGATGAAATAAGCCCAGGCAATAATCCCTGCATCAGAGAAGCCAGGAGGCGAGCCGTGATAGAAGTACAAACCCTCATAACTTATACTGACTTAAAAGAGGCACTTCTTAAGCAACAAATCTTTGTAGAGCAAACAGAAACCGACGTCTCATCAGAAAAAGCAATTTGGAATATTCTTGGAAATGTAGCTCAGATTCAGCAAGAGGTGTTGTCTTTTGATGGGAACAGAACTGATAAGAACTACATGCGACTAGAGGAGCTCCTCACCAAACAGCTTCTAGCTCTTGATGCTATAGATCCTCAAGGAGATGAGCGCTCGAAAGTATCCAGGAAACAGGCAGTGAAGCTTGCACAGAACATTCTTTACTATTTGGACATGAAAACTGATGAATGGGAGTACTAAAATAATATTGGTCTTGTGTGCTAGATGTTGGTTTCTCTTTTGCACTTTATAACAGTCAGTCTCTCATAACTACAAGACTAACAGTTCCATCATTTGCTCATCTCTTTGCGGTTGAGTAAAAGTTGGATTGGGTTAAGCAGCAACTTTTTCCTGCTCGTGCAATCAAGCAGTGAAGGCAGTTCATGTACCAATTATGTTACAATTTTTGTCATAGCCTGTTTTCTGTTGTTTGCATGATTTGTGAAGAAGACTCCCAAAACTGTATTTCCAGCTGTTGCCTAAAGCTTTCTATATAAAATTCTACACCAAGACATAATACAGTCTTGCAAAATAAAAGCAAAACTAATGAGAAAATCCAGAGCAAATGTCAGTCAGCCTTAAGCCAGTTTAGATGTTTGCAGTTGTCTGGATCAATCCAGTCGCAATCCAAAGGATTAAATGCAAATTACTCATGTCTATTTTGTGTGTTTGATTTAATCTTGCTGATCTTTCATCTGAGATTTTTTTAATAGTTTGGCATAATATGAAACATGAACATATCTGAAATATAGATATAAATTGTAATTTTATACTTTCTTCTGATTTCCATAGGATTATGGAAGAGTTACAGTCGATCACCTTGCACATTCTGGAGTTCTCATTATGTAAACTAGAGGAACACCAGAATATAAAAATGGTACTTCAAAGATAGAATGCACAGCATAGGTTGAACAATATATATTTCCTGAATTATGATGAACTTTTCAGTAATCAAACAATGATCCTGAATTTGGGGTCTTAATAGCTGTTTAGATATTTTCCTTTAATTTTGTGATTATTTGGTAGATATTGGGCAACTTGTCAAACATTCCTTTGCATTTTTAAATTGATTCATCAATTCTTTTTCCAGACTAAGCTTGACACAAAAATGTTACTTTTTCTAAGATTTCATGTGCTGCTGTTACAGTTAAGAGTGTTGTTTAAAACTATTTTATTTTTCCAAATGGCTGTTCATGATTTATGAAGGCAGCAGATATTTCTTTTGACTTTTTTTTATCTTTCAATTCATCAGAATGACTAAACATTTCAGAAAACAGAATTTAAAACGTAGAAGCATTGTTATATATTACTTTAACTATGTTGAATAGGTTACATGTGCTATTCCTGAGTATAAAAGGAAAAGTTGCTTTAGTTTTTTTAACATTTTGTCCCACCACCTTTTTGTCTTCACTGAAGTCTCATAATTCATTAACAGTATCTGATAATATTTCTGAATACACCAAACCTAAGTCAGTTTAGCTATAATTTTTCCCTGTTTCTTATAAATTCGGAATAGGAGAAATCAACAGCAATCATATTTTTAGAATGCATTGTTAGTATCATCCAGAAACCTGCAGTCACTTAATATGTCGAATAATATGTTTCTAATCCAATCTCTATATAGTAATCAAAATTTTTGACTTGTAGAAGATTATTTCTTCAATACATGATTAATGCATGCTGAGATATTACATTGATGTCTATGAATAAAGTTTTAGTATAGAATTAAAAGGCATAAGGCTTATTCTTGAGAAACAAGTGCCTTTTAAATGACCTTTGAATTTGTAGCACCTTGTAGCTATGACTACTGTAGTTGACTTCATGGTGTTTTTCAGTGAACTTTTTTTCTGTAGTATGGATTACTTATCAGTTACAGCTTTTAAAAAGCTATCATATTTGTAAGTCTCTACTGTGATATTAGCAAACGCCTAAAATCTTGATGAAGTCCTTGGCCTAGTCTCATTGGCTCAATTCACTGATCGTTAGTGTGTTTCATTTCTGTAAAATGTAAAAAGCAGTAGTAGCTCAATTTACTTTCAAATTAATTTTGATCTTGCTGCACAAAAAGGTTTTTTTTAAGCTTGATGTATTTTTTGTTGTCCTAATATTTTGGTGAATCTGTGTCAATTAACAGTTAATAAGAATCCAGAATGGACTAATAAGCATTTTGGTAGCTTCATCATCCTTGACTTCATTTTGTCCTTTTTCTCGTTGCTTAAAATGATTACTTTTAACTGCTTGTACTGTTCTAGTTTGGGTCCTTAGTAAATTGTCTAGCATATCGGATTAAAATATTTTCACTTTCATTAGAAGTTTTCATTCTAGCTACATGGTTTAACTTTTGATCCCAAACTCTGCACACATAGAGTTTCCACATGATTTGGATTTCCCAATTAATACAACTTTCAAAACAGTAATACAAGTGTTTTTTTTCCATTCCCTTTTCCCGCCTTCTTCAACTTCCATGTGGAAGCCATTGCTTATTTGAGTATTCTGAAATGAGATGGCAGATTAGACATGCAGTTTTTAGGGAACAAATAAGTAATTGGTAGTGTATCTACTTGTCCCTCACCTCACAGAAAACTTTTCACCAGAAGATACCTTTGTGAAAGGAAGAGAAATATGATTACTGCTGATACTGCTCTATCTCTATCTCTCTGGATTCCATAAAATAAGCTTCAGTGTTTGGGGAGCAGTATTACATTAGGTGTTGGGAATTGTAGCAGAAAGAAAGTTTATATTTGGATTTAGTTTTTATGCTGTTTATGCATCAGAAACAGATTCTTAATGTTGGCTACTAGTTACTAGCATTTTGCATGGGGGAAAAAAAATCTGTTTTCAGTAAATTCCAACAGTAGTGGAAGAGAAGAAAGTCCTTTATTCCCATGCAGTTCTGAAGAAGTCTAGCAATGATTTGGGGAACTTTCTGGAATCACACAGTGAGTGGTTTAAAAAGAATGAAAAACTGTAAAAACAGTTCAGAACTGTTTCCCTTATGCAACTAAAGGCTATTCTATTTTGCACCACATAGATACTAGGTTTTTTTTTTGTTATTTTAACTTTACAATTTTTCTATTAACCTTTTGCTCATATTTTACACATAACTGCAATGCTGTTATTCTAAAGTTCAACACATAAGGCTTCTAGTACACAGGGACATTCTTACAGTTCTCATGACTCTTGAACCTTGTAAAAGCTGCAGGTTTTAAAGAGAATGTGTAATAAACTTACAGTAGATATTGTAGTAAGAGCATAATTTCCCATTTTTCTATTTAAAAATAATATCTGGCTTGCAAATTTAAGTGTGCTTTGCTGATTTATATTAAGTTACTTGGTATAACTATAAATCTGATTTTTGCATGAATAAATATGAAAAAGTAAATATGATAAACCAAAATGAAACATTGTAAATTTGGTTTACGCTTTTAAGAATATTCTTTTTCTACTTAACATGCAAGTAGGTTACAGCACATATTTTCCATTGCAATGATTTAACAGTCTATTCTGCAGTTCTGCATTGGACCAGATCAGAGGTTCTTTTTTTAATATAAAGGTTTTTGTGCAGTGCCATAGTATTTAGGGTGAGAAACATGTAATTCTACTCAAATACATCATGATTTTGATTGTATTGCTTTAAATGTTCTGTTACTCTAAATAGCCACCTGATAGCTTTCTGATATTTTTGCCAGCAACCATGAAACAATTTTGTTTTGAGCAATTTGAAATTAACTATTCCTATATGATTGGCAAACCATTGTAATCAGCTTTTATAATTAAGCTTTCTCGGGGCACTAGACCTGTAGTTGGTACATATTCTGTTGTATGTTAAACTTGAGAACAAGCTACCACATGGCTGGAGCTTGCTGTTTTTTGAAGAAGTGTATTATCTCATGTTTATGTATTGCACTGTTCAGTATATACAGATTCGGAAATCAATAAATTATTTGGATGTTGCTTTCTTGACAATTTACTCCAGGACAGGATAATTCTTTGTGTTGCATGGTGGGTTGTGGGTATAAAATACTTTATATACTTTGACATAATGGTCTACAGCCATTACTGATACATGGATGGCATTAGAATGTTAAATTAGGATTTTCTTCTTTTTGATAAAAAAATATAATTATCAAAAATGGGGCTTTTTTTAAAGTTAAATACACTTTTAGAAATAATATGTAACAAAATAATACAATGAAATGCAGCCTTCCCTCAACTATACACTGGATGGTCATACATGCCCTGATCACCTCATGATTAAATTATGGCAATGTGCTCTACGTGTGGTTGCCCTTGAAGACCATGTGAAAGCCTCAGTTGCTTCAAAATGCTGCAACTTGACCAGTAATGGGCACTTTTCATTATGCCCATGAGTCCCAAACTGTGTTGGTTGCCAGTAAGCTTCCAGGTGCCATTCAAGGTGCAAGTTGTTATCTATAAAGCCCTTAATGGCACAGAGCCTGGTTATAGCAATAGCACTTAGACTTATATAGTGCTTTACAACCCTCTCTGTAAAGCAGTTTACAGTCAGAAAATTGCCCCCAACAATCGTGAGTCCTCATTTTACCCACCTCAGAAGGATGGAAGGCTGAGTCAACCTTGAACCTGGTGAGATTTGAACTGCCAAATTGCAGGCAGTCAGCAGAAGTAGCCTGCAGGACTGCACTCTAACCACTGCGCCACCGTGGCTCATATCTGAGAGATTGCCTCATCTCTAAATGTTTCTGCTCACCCATTATGTTGGTTGAGTGAGTGTGCCATGGGTCTCCTCAATTAAACATCTTGTGGGACCGTTAAACCATATCCCCCAGAGAGATGGACACTGCCATTCTGCAGTTTTGGAAAGCCCTTAAGACCTGCCTTTGTCCGACACTTTGGGTTACTGTAATTGCTTGTGTTTTTATTGTTTTGGTTGTTTTTAAACTGGACTGTTGGTTGTTTACGTTTTTAATTGTTTTCACTATGTATTTGGATTTTGTAAGCTGCCAGAAATTACTGCAGTGAACAGGCATCACATATTAAATTATTATTATTAAAATGTAAAATTGCAACCTTAGAATCTGATTATCTAGGATTGAACTCTTGGATGAAAGAGGTGATGTAATTATAACAAATGCAATTTAATAGCCTTCCCAGTCAAAAAGATTTTCAAAAGGGCAACAGATTATAAATAAAATAATAATTAAAACAGATTATAAATTAATTAATTAATTCAATCTTTCTAAAACATTCCTTTCTCCTGCTTTCCCCCCCACACTCCATGGGGTTTGGCATAAGAAATAGAAGATGGTGAACTTTAAATTATTTCTATTCCTTTAATGATCATATCAGAATAAAATTTTACTGAGAGGAGGAGAAGTTATATTTGCAAATCCTCCATAGTTAAGATCTATTTAATGTACTGTAGATAGTTGGCAGAAAGAAAAACTTAAAAATGGCAGATCATTCATTTATTTGGTGTTTTAGAAGTTCTGTATTAATTTTCTGCAAAGTATCAACATAGTATGGATCAGACCATTTTCAGATTTGGAAGCTAGATTTCACTTAGAGATTGGTATGTTAATAAATATACCTACAATCACGTATGACAGGATAAACAGAAGCATCTTTTTAAAGTCAGAGCCTAATTATATGTATATTAAGAAGAGTGGCTTCCTTAA